TTGGTCAGGCTGGTCTCAAACTCCTGACCTCAGGTGATCTGCCCACCTTGGCTTCCCAAAGTGCTTGAATTACAGGCATAAGCAAATGTGCCCAGCTGAGTTTTTAATTTTTAATTTTTATTTTATTTATTTATTTATTTTTGAGACAGGGTCTGGCTCTGTTGCCCAGGCTGGAGTGCAGTGATGTAGTTGTGGCTCACTGAAACCTCCACCTCCTGGGCTCAAGTCATCCTCCCACCTCACCTCAGCCTCCCAAGTAGCTAGGACTCCAGGCACATGCCACCACTCCCAGCTAATCTTTCTATTTTTTGTATTTTGGGAGGTTTACCATGTTGTCCAGGCTGGTCTCAAACTCCTGGAGCTCAAGTTATCAATCCACCTTGGCCTCTCAAATTGCTGGGATTATAGGCATGAATTACCATGCCTGACAGGGTTTAACTTTTTTAGATTCCACATAGAAGACAGCATTTCTTTCTGTGTCTGGCTTATTTCTGTGTGCATGCACACACGCCATACTTTCTTTATTCATCCATCAATGGACACTTACATTTCCACATTTTGGTTACTGCGAACAATGCTGCAATAAACATGGGAGTGCAGATATCTCTTCAACATACTGATTTTATTTCATTTTTTAATTAAAAAAATTTTTTTTGAGACAGTCTAGCTCTGTGACCTAGGCTGGAATGCAGTGGCACAAGCTCGGCTCACTCACTGCAGCATCCGCCTCCTGGGTTCAAGAGATTCTTGTGCCTCCGCCTCCCAAGTAGCTGGGATTGTAGGTCTGTGCCACCACACCATGCCCAGCCAATTTTTGTATTTTTTGTAGAGACAGACTTTTGCCACGTTGCCCGGGCTGGTCTCAAACACCAGGCCTCAAGTGATTTGCTGGCACTGGCCTCCCAAAGTGATGGGATTACAGGCAAGAGCCACTGTGCCTGACCACCAGACTGATTTTATTTTCTTTGGAAATATACCCAAAAGTGAGATGCTGGATCCCATGCCAGCTCCAATGTTAATTTTTTGAGGAGCTTCCCTACCACTGTTTTCCATAATGGCTGTGCCAATCTCCCTTCCCACCAACAGTATACAAGGGTTTCCTCTTCTCTGCACCCTCACCAATACTTATCTCTTTTCTTTTTGATAACAGCCATCCTAACAAGCGTGAGGTGACACGTCACTGTGGCTGCGGTTTGGATTTCTCTGATCATTAGTAATGTTGAACACCTTTTCGTATTTATACACCTAGTCCTTTGTATGTCTTTCTTGGGAAACTGTTCATATGCAGGTCCTTTGTCCCTGCCTTTTCTTATTTTTTAGATGGGGTCTCACTCTGTCACACAGCAGGCTGGAGCACAGTAGTGAGAGCATTAGCTTACTGTAGCCTCAAATTGCTGAGCTTAAGGTACCCTTCTGCCTCAGCCTCCCAGGTAGCTGGGACTACAAGTGCATATCACCACACCAGGCTAATATTTGTACTTTTTAAATCAGGTTATTTTGTTTTTTGCCATTGAGTTGCATCACTTGCTAATTCCTTATGAAACAGTCCAAGGGGGGATCGAACAATCAAACTAATGGATTAAGGCACAGTGTGATAATGAAAGCTAACATCAATGCTTACTATGTGAAGGGACAATGCTAGTCACTTTACATGGTGTGATGATGTGATCATTAATTTTATGTGTCAACTTGATTGGGTCATGAGGTGCCAAATATTTGGTTAAACATGATTTCCGGTTGTGTTTGTGAGAGTGTTTTTGGATGAGATGAGCATTTGGTAGACTGAGTAACATAGATGGCCCTCCCAGTGTGTGAGGGCACTACCCAATCTGTTCAGGGGCTGCATAGAACAAAAAAGGCAGAGGAGGCCGGGAGCGGTGGTTCATGCCTGTAATCCCAGCACTTTGGAAGGCTGAAGTCGGTGGATCATGAGGTCAGGAGTTCAAGACCAGCCTGGCCAAGATAGTGAAACCCCTGTCTCTACTAAAAATACAAAAATTAGCCAGGCATGGTGGCAAGCGCCTGTAATCCCAGCTACTCTGGAGGCTGAGGCAGGAGAATCACTTGAACCAGGTGGCAGAGGTTGCAGTGAGCTGAGATAGTGACACTGCACTCCAGCCTGGGAGACAGAGTGAAACTGTATCTCGAAAAAGAAAAATAAAAGAAAACCATTTTTTAAAAAACCCAAATGTTAGCCGGGCGTGGTGGTGTGTGCCTGTAGTC